TGTTGGTTTTTAGGACACACTCTGCAAATCTGCCCTGCTCACTCAGCGTGTGACCCTGGTGGGAATCGATGGCTGAGGCTTGTGAGTCTGTCCGCATGCTGGAGGGGAACGTGGGGATCAGATGCTAGTTTTTGTAATTCACAACCCGGGTGCCTATGGAGTCAGACAGATACTTTTTTCAAATATTTCCCTCCTCTGTGTGTGGGTTCGCATAGGGCCGCAAGGGCTACAGTACGGCCCACGGGCCCCCGCACGCTGACCCCAGATTTTCAGCAGTCAGAGGAGCACATGGCCCCCGCACCTGCTCTGAGACTCATGCAGGGGCATGGAAGGAAGGGAGCCTGTCTGAGAAACCTGCTGGGATGCTGGCCAGGAGTCATCTAGGTTAAACGTCTCCCATCCACAGCTTGTCTATGGCAACTTAGCCCCTTAGCAACTTCGCTTAACAGCCTCGCCTCTTAGCAACTTCGTGGGTTAGACATGCAGTGTACATCCAGTACCTTTATTTTCCAAAGCATTTATTTTGCCATGTGTGTACGTAAATGGAGCTTTAATTCCCTACTCTGAATTCTGTCCCACTAGTCAGTTTATCTTTCAAGTGAAATCCTATGGAAGAAATTTCTTCCTCTTAGCGCTAACTAACAGAACATAAACAGACCTTCACACCGAGGGGCCGCAGGGCTCCATGTTCCAGCTGCTGTACAGTGAATAGATGCATGCCCGGTAAGGGAATAGCCGGGCTCACAGCTGTAATTTACAGACACTCCACTGCTGAATACTGCCAGGGCCTGGCTGTCGGGCTTCCCGTTGGTGATGAGTGGAGGGGAGGGGCAGTGCAGCACTGTAGGAAAAGAAGCAGAGCTCATGAAGGCTAATCTGTAGCAGGGAATAGAACCACATGCTTGTAATGAGTCAAGCCCAACACAACTGCAGTGAGATATGCCAAACGTTACCCACTTCCATTCCCCTCCAACTCATGAATAACTCTCCCCACCGTTCCCACACACACACCCTGGTCACTGTTCCTAACTCCACGGACACATTCCCAGCCATCTTAAGAAGGCTGCAAAGGCTGCTGCCCCTGTGTATTCAGGGTTGTAAATGTTGCTACTTTGGAACTATTGATTGGTGGGCTAGGGCCTTCCCTAGGGTCCCTTAGCGGTTGGGGGGGCTTTAGAGGGCAGGGCTGGCCAGGACCATTCAGATCCCATTTCCAGTCCCACAGTCTGTTTGTCATTCGTGCTCACTCCTGCCACATCTTATTGGTCCCAATGGGGGGAAAGATAAAGGACACTCAAAGCCGTAGCCACACTCACCTTTTTCGCAGATGGGCACAGGAGGATCCCAGCTCCCATCACTCTGGCACCGAGGCCGAGAGCTCCCACGCAAGGTGTAACCAGGCTCGCATTCCAACACCGCGACGTCTCCAGGGCCGTAGGGGGCCAGCGCCCCATTCGTTCTGCCGTTCTCCAGTTCCGGGCTCATGCATGTCACTGAAAGGGGAAGCGTCACAGCCGCTTTAGACTCCAAAACATACGTGGGACGGAATGAACGATTTACCCCTAGAGCCATGTCCATGGATGAGTCTTTTGCTTCAACCTCATCTGTATTTCTCGTCTATCACTTCCTCTAAGCACCTTTATCCATTCCTTCGGCAGGAACGTTACACCTCTGCAAGCACAGAACCATTCACCGCTGGTACAAGTGGATACAATGCTCATGAAAACAGAGAAGCTCCTTCTGGCAGCAGTGACTTTTGCTCGTGCATCTCACTGGTGGTTTACACCCAAACTGTGAAATCTTCTAAATTAGTGGCTCGACTGAAACTTCTCTTTGACTCTGTGATGGGGTGCTTACACCCCGGATTTTGGTTAGGGGGAGCGCTGCCCTTTCGGGTGAAAGTACCTCACTGTGTTGGCCTGCCGCACGTATTCCCAGGCCTCAGAGGCAAATCCACATCCTTTTAGGACCCGGGGAGAGCATCAGCTAAAAGTGGAAGTGTGCGGCCGGGGGCATTTACACCAGCATTCCCCCTGCAGGATCTTTAAGTGTCCCTGGACTGCCAGGGGAAGGGAGAGATTCGGGAGGAGGAGCATTTGGCGTGGAGGCGGAGAAGGCGCAGGGGCCCACATGGATCCAGTCCATCCACCGACCCCTAGCAAAACTCATCCGACGATAGACGGTGAGTGGGCCAGGGGAGTCAACACCCCTGTTCAGGGCAGGCCAGGACTCCTCAGACCTGCCTAAGGGAGGGGAAATGCTAGCGGTAGCAGAGGGGATAGGTCATCCCCAGGCTATGGAAGCTCGGCCAGGAAGGGGTTTCGTAGATATCGAGGCAGAAGGGATCGCAAGTCCGAGCCGAAAGACCCTCACTCCAGCCATCGCTGAGGCGTTCATCTCGACTCGGGAGCCTGGCTGTGACCCCAACTCCAGTGACGGAGAGCGACTCCGGGTAGGCAGCTGCTGCTTGGTAGAAAGTGACCCAGGGCGGGAATACTTGAATTACCCCACGGGGGTTGGTGAGTTTCGCCTCATCCCCACCAACCCAGGCACTGGACCATTTCCCTGTCCTTAAAGTGCTGGGTTCGGACCCGGTAGAGAGGGAAGGCCCGGGTTCCCTTACCCCAACCCATGGGCCAACCCTTCCACTGGCTCGCTCCAGCAGGACCCTGTTGTTGGGCTTGAGCCAAGAAGGTTATACACCTGTGAATTAGAGACACTTGTCTGTGGAGGAGTTAACAAGGGGAAAAGGGGATCCAGTAGATATAGTATACTTAGATTTCCAGAAAGCCTTGAACAAGGTCCCTCACCAAAGGCTCTTGTGTAAATTAGATTGTCGTGGTATAAGAGGGAAGGTCCTTTCATGGACTGAGAACTGGTTAAAAGATAGGAAACAAAGGGTAAGAATAAATGGTAAATTTTCAGAATGGAGAGGTGTAACTAGTGGTGTCAGTCCTAGGATCAATCCTGTTCAACTTATTCAGAAAGAATCTCTAGAGAAAGGGGTAAGCAGTGAGGTGGCAAAGTTAGTGGACGATACTAAGCTGTTTAAGATAGTCAAGACCCAAGCAGACTGTGAAGAACTTCAAAAAGATCTCACCGAACTGAGTGACTGGTCAACAAACGGCAAATTAAATTTCATGTGGATAATTGAAAAGTAATGCACATTGGAAAAAAGAACCCCAACTACACACTACACTATGATGGGAGCTATTCTGGCTACAACTAATCAGGAAAGAGATCTTGGAGTTATTTTGGATAGTTCTCTGAAAACGTCCACACAGTGCGCAGAGGCACTCAAAAAAGCAAATAGGATGCTAGGAATTATTTAAAAAGGGATAGAAAATAAGATGAAGAATATCTTACTGCCCCTAAATAAAACTATAGTACGACCACATCCTCAATACTGTGTACAGATGTGGTTTCCTCACCTCAAAAAAGATATTTAGGCATTAGAAAAGGTTAAGAAAAGAGCAACTATAATGATTAGGGGTTTGGAATGGGTCCCATATGAGGAGAGGCTAAAGAACCTGGGACTTCAAACAGCGCACAGTCAACCTGCGGAACTCTTTGCCAGAGGAGGCTGTGAAGGCTAGGAGTATAAGAGAGTTTAACAGATATTTATAAATTAAAGTTAAGATATTTATAAATTCATGGAGGTTAGGTCCATAAAAAGCTATTAGCCAGGGGGTAAGGAATGATGTCCCTGTCCTCTGTTTGTCAAAGGCTGGAGAAGGATGGCAGGAGACAAATTGCTTGATCACTGTCTTCGGTCCACCCCTTCTGGGGCATCTGGCACCGGCCATTGTCGCCAGACAGGATACCGAGATAGACGGACCTTTGGTCTGACCCAGTACGGCCATTCTTATGTTCATATGTTCTTATGACTTTAGCCGAGAAGGCTGTACACCTGTGAATTGGAGTCACTTACCTATGGACTTGAGGCAAGAAGGCTGTGTACTTGTTAATTAAGGATCTTTATCGGTGGACCTTAGCCTGGAAAGCTGTGTTTCTGTTGATCTGAGACCCACACCGGGGAATCGTTTAAAGATGGGACACTAGGCTATTAAGCAGAGGAAGATCCAATAGGGTAAAATACAACGGACACTCAAAGCCGTAGCCACACTCACCTCTTTCACATATGGGGACAGGAGGATCCCAGCTACCATTGTTTTGGCACCGAAGCCGAGAACTCCCACGCAAGGTGTAACCAGGCTCGCATTCCAACACCGCGACGTCTCCAGGGCTGTAGAGGGCTAGAGCCCCATTCGTTCTGCCGTTTTCCAGTTCTGGGCTCACGCATGTCACTGAAAGGGAAAGCAAAGTCTCCAAAGACCTTTACAGCGAGGGGCTGGAGGGCTCCATGTTCCAGCTGTCGTACAGTAAATAGATGCCTGTCTGGTAAGAATAGCCGGGCTCGCAGCTGTAATTTTCAGACACTCACCTACGGGGCTCTTTCACATATGGGGACAGGAGGATCCCAGCTACCATCATTTTGGCACCGAGGCCGAGAGCTCCCACGCAAGGTGTAACCAGGCTCACATTCCAGCACCGCGACATCTCCAGGGCCGTAGCGGGCCAGCGCCCCATTCGTTCTGCCGTTCTCCAGTTCTGGGCTCAGGCATGTCACTGAAAGGGGAAGCGTAACCACCGCTTTAGACCTCAAAACGCACATGACATGGAATAGACCCTTTACCCACAGAGCGATCTCTGTTGATAAGTCTTTTGCTTCAACCCCATCTGTATTACTCGAGTATCACTTTCTCTAGTCACCATTATCCACTCCTTTAGCAGGAACAGTACCCCTCTGCACTGACAGAAATGTTCACCGCTGGTACAGGTGCATGCGATGCTCCTGAAGTTCAAGGAGCTCTTATATGTCAGCTGATTGGTTGTTAATCAGAAAGTTCTCTTGCACTCCATTTAAATCCTTACGTGTGTCTGACACACAGAGCAAGGCAATGCAAAGGAAACTGAAATGCACCTTTATATGGAGGGAGGGAAAGCTCCAAGCTCCCGATGCCTCACAAGGAAATGACACCTCCCAAACAAGGGAGCGCACAGAATCACAATGGTAATTGAGAAACATCCAATAGGAAGAAAAAAATCCGGCTCCTTTTTAGGCATCTGTAATTGAACACGCAATTTGGGCCCATTAGTGTGCAGCTGGCACTACCAGCCCATTGCTTTTTTCACTCTTTGACTCATTGGCAACACTCGCCCTCTTACTGAATTGTCAAAAGCAGCTTGATTGCAAGACAAGTGTCAAGGGGGGGAATAAGGGATGGTTCTCTCTATGAACTAAAGGCCGTACTCTACATCCCATGAAAGAGTAACAACTGTGTCTAACGACCAGACTTCTCATAGTTTATAATAATTCTAGATAACTGTGACCTTTAGCAGAGGAAGCGGAATTACCCACAAATCCTGCAGGGGGCCAAGAAGTTCTTGAACATCCTCTTCTCAATCACTTCCAGTTCCCATTTCAATATGGGCTAGACACTTGGCAACTTAAAGAGGAAGATCCAATAGGGTAAAATACAATGGACACTCTAAGCTGTAGCCACACTCACCTCTTTCACACACGGGGACAGGAGGATCCCAGCTACCATCGTTTTGGCACCGAGGCTGAGAGCTCCCACGCAAGGTGTAACCAGGCTCGCATTCCAACACCGCGACGTCTCCAGGGCCATAGGGGGCCAGCGCCCCATTTGTTCTGCCGTGCTCCAGTTCTGGGTTCACGCATGTCACTGAAAGGGGAAGCGTAACAACCGCTTTAGACTCCAAAGCGCATGTGGGATGGAATGGACACGTTACCGACACAGCCATGTCCATTGATGAGTGTTTTGCTTCAACTTTATCTGTATTTCTCGAGTATCCCTTCCAGGGCCATAGGGGGCCAGCGCCCCATTTGTTCTGCCGTGCTCCAGTTCTGGGTTCACGCATGTCACTGAAAGGGGAAGCGTAACAACCGCTTTAGACTCCAAAGCGCATGTGGGATGGAATGGACACGTTACCGACACAGCCATGTCCATTGATGAGTGTTTTGCTTCAACTTTATCTGTATTTCTCGAGTATCCCTTCCT